CGAACTTAATGCTGGGAGTAACCCTGCGATGGACTAGCATCCCATCTAGGGAGAGGTGGTTAAGAAATACTCTAGTCGCTTCATACTACAGAAACCGGGATAACTCTGGCCTGATGGGCCACTTGGCTCGTATGCAGACAATAGAGAAACTGACGACAATCTGGCCAGGAAGTTGTTCTGTTACATAATTAAATTCTCTTCACTTGTGCTATGAGAAATGTGTCGAAATCAGTATGGAGAATGTGTATGCTAACATCAGAGCATGGACGGCCTATGAGCATTGCGTCAAATTAGAACTACCAGCCAAAATCCTGATTTCCAACTTTTACTCCACAAAAATATCCACAACTTTCGCCTCGCTTGTTTGCGATGTTACTTGATTGGCGTTTGGTTCTCTTCCATGGCATCAATTTTATAGAAAATTAGAGGGAGAAAATTAAAGGGAGAGTTAATTTAAGGAATTACGGTCATTTCGTTCCATAGTGAGATCGCTCCTAGTCAGTTCGCACAAACCAAAAGTTAGATCGCTCCACACGAGAACTGACTTCGACTTTTTATAATGTGTGGTCAATAATTTCATTTCATTCGATTACGCTTTGGCCTTCCTGATGATCGACATAAATTCTTGTACGTTTTGAATCAACAAAAAAGCCTTCATTCTTAATGAAAATCATCTTCATAAACCGATGGACAATAACATCAGTTAGGCAAGTTAGCTACCACCAAGAGACGATGATCTTGCTACAATCTAGTAAGCACTTGGCACTTAAGTTAACACTAAAATAACATGGAAAGAAGTCACTTCTGCATGGAGCGATATCACTTCTCGTGTGGAGCGATCTAACTTCTGGTTGGAGCGAACTGACTTGGAGCGATCTAACCATGGAGCGAAGCGACCAGATACTAATTTAAGTTAAGACATGTTGTACCCGAGTTCGAGGACGAGCCAGACGTTTTTGCTCCACTGATTTTCCTCTGAGGTGCAGACTTTTTGGCTGATCCAGCTCTGGAAGGCGCTGCCGTGGAAAGCTACAACAACCAAAGTGATCAAAAATAAATTTCCTCTCAAAATATCGGTATTTTGTCAACAGACAGAATTAAAAAAAATACTACAGACCAGCTTTACACAAAGCGGACTTGAATTCACCCACCCCTCCCCCATCTAATCCGTGCAAGAAGCTACATTCAGATTAAGAAAGACTAAGTATAGATGCGATTAAATTCTCAGGACTGTAAATAGAAGAAATGGAGGACAATTGCTTTGAATTTCATTGTAGAATATTCCGGAAAAGAATATCAAGGCTAAACATGCGCCAATGAAACAAGGCTGAAAATACTGTTTGTTAGCAGAAAAGTTGATTCTTCTGAGACAGAACATTTAGCGAAATCAGCCACTTTGCACCTGTATACATGTATTAAATAATTCTGTGCAGAAAACACATGCTTAAAAATATATTGTTGTTGTATTTTTAAAAGCTCTGAATTTGATTGCATTTTTATTTGGTGAAAACAAACGCTAAAATCAACCACTTTATACCTCTGTTAATCATTCTGTGGGACCAACAAGGTCGAAAATATTGTGTTATCTTGAAGATTAAGTTAGAACAGTCTTTCTTCGGTGAAACAACAGTTTAATACAATCATCCACTTTGTGAAACTAAACAAGCCAAGAAATATTACGTGACAAAAGCTGAAATCAATCACTTTTTGCCGGAATTACTACAACTGACTAGCTGTGCAAAATAATTCACAAAAAATACAGCTACGAAGTTATATTATATTATCATTATTCAGAGGGCTTCAAAAACATTATTTCCCTGCTATCATACATGTAGATGAGGATACCTGTTCTAAATGTCTTTCCATTTGTTGTGCATTACGCAGACACCACCTTGTCATTTACAAAATAATTCACGCATAACGTAACACTCAGATCTGCCCAAAGCATGGCTCCAAATGGAAAACAATAGATTTCACGTAGAGTAAAACTGCATTTACTTGTCTTGCGCCGTTTTCCTCGTGTTCATAACAATATCCTGATGTATGTATTTCCTTGTTAACTTCTTTGAATTTTATATTTAATATTCAAGACATGTTAATAGTCTGACTAATGTTTTCACAGCCACAGACGTTTTGGCTCCATGGCCATCACGAGCAATTTCGTCTGGAAGTTTCTTGTCACCTGACAGCTTACTGTTTGCACATGAGCACTGGTTATGCAGTGCAGAGTACAAAAATGTAAAAAAGATTTTTTTTTTCCACATTTGTTTAATACAACAGGTATTAATTATATCAGAAAGAAGCTGCCATAAGAAAGTTTAATTCTTCCAAATAATGTAAAACAATTACATCACCACTTTTGTTAGAAATTGAATATGAATAACATGATTCACACCTGCTGTGGATGAAAAACACAATTAAGGAGTGATCACATGATGGCATTATGTCTTTGTTTTCTTTATTGTGGGGATTGATAAATTTTCACATTAAGCTGACTTCCTTTAATTTCAGTTATTTTTTTTTAAATGTGCAGTTTCAGAAAATATCATAACTCCTCCATGGAAGGATTTTCCAATCAACAATCATACATGTCTTACATTTTTTGGAATGCCCACCAGATAAGAACCATACCCATTTCAAACCATGTTACATGTATACTAAGATGTTTAAATACAACCTTCTACAACTATTTTGGGGTGAATAAGGTAGGAGCTTTGCTTGTACATGTGCATGTGGATGTGTTTGATACACCCACTCAAAATTTTGGTCAGTGACTCATCCCAGGCCCTGCATTACCTCCCCCTGCCTGATAACGAATTTGACATGTAGCCAGGGGTGTAAGGAATGGAATGTCCATATACACCCCAAGGAAGGTCATTAGACATTCCGAGTGTGGGGGGACTTCTAAAACCACTGTTTTTAAATAAAACTATGACACTAAAATGGAATTTTCATCCAGGTTAGGCAGGCAGGGGGGTGCAGGGGGGAAAGTCTAAAGCAAAAATTCTTCCTTGGAATCGGTAGGATATTTTCTGGAAGAACATGTTTTCATCTCTCACCTTTGCACCATCTGTCTCCACTTCACCATTCAATCTTGAAGATCCTGAAAGAAACCAAAAACAAGAGTTATTAGCATCGTGGGCAGATGAAGCTACAAAACTAAGCCCACTAAAACACTTTAGAGAGAACGAAAATCGTACAGTAATGAGTATGAAATTTACCTTTCAACCGTGTTAAATTTAACACTTTTAATAATTTCCAAAATGTGAACAAATCCCCATTTGCACATTTCAAGGAAGCCATAACCAGTTTTAAACTACAGTTAATTTTATCGCTCTTAATTGATTGGTATCAAGATTCTCCCAACTGTTCCTTATACATTTTACATAATTCCTTGGGAGAATTTGTTTTTTAATCAAGAAGCTACCAAGATGATCAGGAGGCTAACCTTCAAGTGACTAATCATTTTACTGACAATATGTACACCAACAGAGCAGCATGGTAGCATGGCAGAAATCCAAGAGGGAGTAGAAATACTCCTAGTCGCTTCATGCCACAGAAACTGGGATAAGCTCTGGCCTGATGGGCCACTTGGTTCATGCAGACTTAACCTTTTTAAAGTTAATTTTAACTTTTTCTCAACTCAACATTTAATTCTTTCCGTCCTGAACTCAAGATACAAGTTCTCCTTTAGCAGTTTCCATACATTTAACATAGTACTAGCAGGGAGATTTTTTTTCCAAACATCCCTGGAGACAATTTCCCATTGTTAAAGAATTCCTCAATTCATGTGACCTATGCCTACTCCATGATACAGTGACTGATAATCAC